GTGTGTCTGAGTGCATGTGTACCAGTGCTCTCCTCTTTTCGCCCGGCGTGTTTGCGTGTGTGAGTGTGTGTGTGTGTGTGAGGGTGTGTGTGAATGTGTGAGTGTGTGAGTGTGTGTGTGTGTGTGTGTGTGTGCACCAGTTCTCTCCTCTTTTCACAATACGCCAAAAATGCGCCTACAGCACTAACGTTGTCTGATCTCTCCAAATGGCTGATTCATACGTCCTCCTCAAAGAAGACCAATTCCAGACAATCTACGAGATCAGCTGCCTGCACTCTCTTTCCCTCCATTTGCAGACTGTCAGCTCGATCTCCTATCTTTCATTTTCTCTCAACGAGCTCAACGACGACTATCCAATACACCGTCGTCGACCATCACCCGACTCAACCCCTCGCCTAGCAACTATCCTGCACTGCTCAGCAGCTAATATGCAGATGTTAAGATACTCATAACTTTACTCTCTCTCTCTCTCTCTCTCTCTCTCTCTCTCTCTCTCTCTCTCTCTCTCTCTCTCTCTCTCTCTCTCTCTCTCTTCTCAACACCCTTCGAATCCTCACCCGTACGGCCAAGCTCCACACCTTTCGAATCCCCACCCGTACGGCCAAGTTCAACGTCAGCAAAAACGACAATTACATGTCCGTCCTTCCCAGCTAGTGGATTTTCACATCGACGACCTTGGGCTTCTCAGGCTCCTTGGGCGGAATCTTCGGCACGGTCACGGTGAGGACGCCGTCCTTGCAATGCGCGCCGATCTTGTCGAGGGCTGCATTCTCTGGCAGCGTGAAGCGCCGCATGAATTTTCCAGTGCTTCGCTCGATGCGATGGTACTTATATCCTCCTGCTTCTCCCTTCTTCGTCGCACGATGGCGTTCTCCGCTGATGACCAAGACGTTCTCATTCTCCAGCTGCACCTTGACCTCGTCACGGCTAAGTCCAGGCAGGTCGGCCACGAACTCGTACGCCGTGGGCGTTTCCTTCACGTCCACCGCGGTGTTGGCCATGGCTCGCGACTCCCTCACGAAAGCACGCCCAGGCTCGTCCTGCAATCTGAACACTTCGTCCCCAAGGGAAATTATCTGACGCACCGTGTCGGCCATCGAACCAAGACCAGCATCGCGTGCGAAGAGAGGGTACAGCGCCATGACGACAGCGATTACAAGAAGGGATCGCTCACGGCTATGGCGGGAGGGAGCAGCGCGCAAGGAATCGGTCTGCGGAGTCAGCCACCGTTGGCTTCAGTGAGCTGGATCGCAACAATGTCAGCTCGCAGGAGGACGAAGGAGGCAGCACGCCCGCGAGGATCGCACGAATTGCGAGGGACATGTGTGTTTGCTATGCACGTGACGCGCAGGTGAAGATCACACTCGTTCGGCTGACGAAGCACCAGCTAGCGGGTGATAGACTGTAATAATCTTTCAATAACGCTGACTGGCAGCGACTATAACCCATACACAATGGAACAGATCAGTCGAATAGAGAAATATTATGATCTCGAACGAAGCAACAATAGCAACAAGGGATGCGGGCGTGAGTAATGGTCGCTCGCTAAGGCATTTGATAATGAGCGTTAAGCTTCCACTGACGAGAACGAAGAAGTAATACCCGTATATGTAGAGCCAGCACAGGCGGAGTGAAGACACCGGAGGGGCCGGGGGGGGAGGGGGGGGGTAAGGGGCAGAAGGGAGCTCTACCTCCCTGGCGGAGCTCGGCGTGTGTCACTAACGTGAAAAAATTGCAACTGCATCTTTGCGATCTATACTACTACGACATTCTAGCACATTCTAGGACAGGAGGCGCTTGCCTCTTCCCGCACTCTTCCCGCACCCCCCCCCCCCCAACATCCCGTTAGTATTTGCGAGCGACTGGAGAATATTCCTGGTTCCGGTAGAACTCTCTCGAGTTTTCTCGTCTCCCCAGCCGCAGTACTGGAAGGGCCTCGCCGCACTACTCACCAAATACTACAAACGACAAAAATGATGGTGGCTCATATTCCCATGTTCTACGTAAAGATTCGTTCTCATTCGTATATTTGGTGAGCAGTGCGGCGAGGCCATAACGAATTCGCAGCCTCTAGGTGTTTCTAGACTCGCCGGCTGCCGTGTGCGACTTTTGTTTTTCTCTTTTCCTTTTTCGTTTTCTTCGATTGGCTCTGGCAGTTACTAGACGCCTCGCGCTTGCGATGGTCATGCGACCCGAAGCGCCCTGGTAGACTTCTAGATTCGCCGGGACTTGCCCTAAACATGAAAGTAACCGTGACTGGAGGGAGACAACAAAGCTATGTTCGCAGGGGTCCCCTGTATAAGGGCCTCGCCTCACCACACTCGAAATGTGAAAAAGACAAAAATGTGGCGGGTGCATCTGGCCATGTTCTAGGGGGAAGTTCATTCTCATTTTGCACATTTCGAGAGTGGCGTGGCGATGCCCTCGAAAGGGGGATTGGGTCTCGCTCCACCACTCTAGACTCTCGAAACGCTCCACTTACTCTAAAGTTTAACTCGTGAAAACACCCTTCGAGAGGTGTCAGAAGGCGCTCTCGAAGGGCACTCTAGAGTAGTACAGAGTTCACAGCCTGCGACGCTCACGATTTCCAGCGTCCTCCCTCCTGCCGCCGCTCCGGCCTCTTTTTTTAGTGAGTGTGCCTCCTGCCGCGACCGTCAAGGCGTGCTGGGGCTGTCGTGTAGCGCTGTAGAAGGGCTGTCATGTAGCGCTGAGAAATTCGTGAGTGTTTCTTTAGTTCTTGAGTCTGGAGTAAGTGGAGCGATGCCTCCTTTTTCATGAGTTCGAGACCTATGACAGCTCTAGAAGGACTCACAACTTTTTTCGTGAGTCTAGAGTAGTGGAGAGAGACCCATTTTCCGAAATTTGCCAGACGGAATTCTAAAGGTCCATGCTTCAAAGAAAAGATCCCCTTGGCCACATATGCCTTTGAAACTGCGCCAGTTCAGTTGGTAAGGCAGAGAAGTTGCACTCAGGAGGTCCTGGGTTTAATCCCCACTAACCTCAGGTATGTGCCTGGGCAAGCTTGGTGAAACCAGCATTGGCAGGACCTTGGCTGATGTTCTTGGCTGCTGTGCAGGGACAGTATTGCCCATTAGACATAGCCATGTCAGGTTGAGGGGGGGGTAGGGGGAGGTGCAGTGACTGGCCATTGCTTGGCCCTAGCACCGCTGATTTCCCCCATTGGAAATGCTTGCCCACCCCTCATCACCGTGATGAGCGACTGGTAAAGCCTTGCTCTCGCACCACAGCTGTGGTGCCAACCTACCCCGTGGGTGTGACGAACCACTTCCCGACCCCATGCCATCTTTCGTACCCTTTCTTTTGCTTGTATCATACCAACCCCAGGAAAACCCCATTTTGAGTTCTTGCTTTCGGGTGCCGCATTTTCCTTTTTGAGAGTTTTTTCGACTGCTGAGTTCTGTTTTTCTTCTTGCAAAGTCGGGAAATACATGGGAATTTACGTGCGCCTTAGCGAGCACACTGGGAATTGGGCTCGGTAGTTGGGAATTCCGGGATAAGCGGAACTTCGACGTGTCTTTTTTGGGTGTGTGATTGTTCTTGGGCGCGTCGGGGAAAACTCTCGGAATTTTGCGTGAATACGAATAGGCGTAGGATTTTCTTTTCCCGCGTCCCTTTTTCGCACGCGAATATGGTGATTTCAATTTTGAATTAGGATAGAAGCAAGCTGTAACTGTTTCGGTGCCTTTTTCTTTTTTTGTTGACAGCACCATGCATGCAAAAGCTTCCTCCTCTCTGTCCCCCGCATGGCTCCCTCCCGCGCCTCCCTTCCCTTCTCCCTCCTTTTTATCTCTCCCCGTAACTGTTTTTCCTTCTCCCTCTCTCTCTCTCCCGCCTTGCTTTCGCGCGCCCATTTCCCTTTCTTGATCATCTGAATCTTGGACCTGTCTTGCGCCACCTCTTGCGCCTTTTCTCTTATCACCATCTACGTCTGGCGTACGACGCCCGGTCGATCCCCCGATAACTCCCGCTCGCCAATCAGGTGCGTGGATCGATAGGACCTTCCTATCGCGCGATGAATCTGGTTGGTTGAACCTTGACTTCCAAGGGATCAGCATGGCGTTCGTAGAGCACTCTTCTCAAAGTCTTCTCCTCCTGCTTTTCCTCTTACACCTCAACTTTCCTGTTGCCTTCTCCCCCTTCTATCTCCCCTGTCGCAACTATAAAACCCGCAAGCGCGTCCGCAAATCTCTCTTACGTTCTCGACTCTCACGCCAGCTTCCGGGAAGCAGTGGCTAGTTAGAGTGTTTGAAGTGAGTCGGAAAGTCCTGTCGGGCTGACGATAGACTGACCGGTTGCGTGCTGGATCGCCACGACGGACTGTGGGATCTGGGTGAACCGTATCGAGTTTACGACAGCGGGGTAACGATCGCAGTGGTGGGAGTTAGCACGCGATGGTCGGGATCTTCGGTGCGGGTATGAGGATCGATGTTGAGTTGATTGGCCCGGGGCCATATTGGAATTAACGGTGAATGCGCCTTTGTTGCGGATTGTTATCTTTGGCGTAAGTGTACGGCGGTGACGCCGAACTTTTCTCTTCCTGGACCTTGTCATCTTCTATTTTGGACTTTCTTTCCCTCGACTCTCTCTCTCTCTCTTTTTCTTCTCGAAAGACGATGCGTCTGAATGATTGTCCCTCTCTTGAATGGGAATGAGTCGGCATCCTGCGTCTGTGTGAAAGAACTTCTTCCGGAACTCTTCCATTAGTTTCCTGGGTAATCCTCCTACGCAAGGACCCTGTTTTCTTGTCTTGTGAACAGTGGATGCGTGTGTACTGTGCAATGCGATCCATCTTTTGTTGTGCACGTCTCATTTTCGCACCTTCCACAGTGAAGGCACGTATGGAAATGTGTGACTCCATTCGTATTGATTAGACGATTGTCGCCGGGATTTTGTTCGAGAATGCAAGAGTGTTTAGATATGTGGTTATGAATGCACTACGCATGCCATCTGCCTTATGCTGCACGACATCAGCAGCCAAGCCACCGGGCGGCCTTGAGAAATAAGGCGCCAGGGACCAACCTTGTGTTGAACTGAGTCGCGGATCGGTCCCTTAGTCATATGCATGATCAAGTGGATGTGTGTTTGCTCTCGCTCTTGTGTCAAAAAGATTGATTGAGGGACGCGCGAATCGTTTTTGTTCTTAATGATGTCTCAGGATATTTTGTGATTGATTGACATGTGGACTGACAAGTACCCTTCGATTGGGCGTCAGCCTCTCGTATCTCCCATCCCAACGCGACCTTTTCCTTACAGTGAGGAAAGGACACGTGTATGTTAGTGGGACGTACGAGAAGCCGTTGCACAAATCGGCGGGCAGTATTACTTCCCTCCGGCCAACCGCTGTTCTGGGTTCATAGAAGCCGGGTTTGTTATTATCGATACGCACTTCCCACCTTACTCGGTCTTGTTGTCATTTAACGAGTTGATCGTCATTCCGTGGACGGCAGTGGAACCCCACTGGTCCCGCACTCTGTGCACCGAATGCCAGTGTTTTGAGCGCTACAAGTCCAGGGGTTTCCACTACCGTGTGCGGAGTGAAGACGAGCATAAAGAAAGAGCGACGTGACTGAGACCCTCCACGTCGGACTCGGAACTAACTAGCGAACGACGACGAGACTTGATACGAAAATGGGACGCGCGAAGCGTGCCCAAGCCTTTCTGTTCAAAACGACGGGCTGTAGCCCAGTGGGAGGCACGACAATACTTTTTGGATTGAATTTGGATCTTTCTGTTTTCGCGCCATGACCGCGCGCGCATTCCGCGACGCGCGAAATTAATTGACTTGCTACATCGGACCTACACGGGGGATTTCAGTTCCATCTGTGTCCCCACACTCAATTTCCAAAATCCTAGGCACACCCCATCTTGCTGTTTTTCTGGGCCTCTTTCTGCCTGCCTAACACTCCGAACGGAAGACTGCACAGGGCGTGAGGTTGGTATCAGAGCCGAAACGTGTCGGTTCTGATGATAGTAAGTCGAACTGGCGAGAGGTAGGAGAGATCCTCAACTAACTCGTCGGGATCGCCCAGTAGCCCAGTCTCAGTATAGTGCGGCTGCACCAGCAATACCAATGGTGGACGGTACTGGGGTGATCGTTAGCATCCCTGCCCCCTTCCCCTTCTTCCCTAACCATACTCATCCCGAGGCTTGGCTGGAAGCTGTCGAAGCTCAGAACTACAGCGCAACCGATCTCCCCCGCGTTCTGACATTGCTACTTCGCAACACGTCACATGACTGGTTTAGGAAACATACATGGGTAGATTGGGCTACTTTCAAGACAGCCTTTTTGGCTCGATTCGATACAGTCAGTGAAGATGCCGCCTGGTACGTGCTCAAAAATCGACCCTAAGGACCAGGGGAGTTGTTGCCCGATTTCGTCAACCGGTTTCAAACCACGTTGGACAAATCCGGGCGGGATGAGAAATCCGCTCGAGGTTTGTTCATTGATCACGTACGAAGTCCGACACTGAAAGGGAAATTGCAGAAAAAGGTTCTGCCGAAAACA